ACACACACACACACACACACACACACATATCGGCCAGCTGGGCCCAGGGGACCTGAGGACCCCAAGGAGAAGAGATTTCCAAGAGAGACAAGTTAGACCATGGACATCACAAGGAAAATGGGTTCCAGCCCCACACTCAGGCAAAGAGCCCTTTGCTGCCTTTCTTTCCCATGACTACTGCATCCTTGGCACTTTCCTCTGCTCCTCCCCAGGGACACCCTTGCCCTCCCACTCCTCCTTCCCAGGAGAAGGGACTAGGATGCCACCTCATGCCTGCTCTGCAGCCTTCTTCATGGTGGCTATGTGAGCTCATCTTCAACACAGCCTTCAAGCCAGGACTACCTTCTTCCCGCTCTCAGTCCACCCCAGAGAAGGAAAAGAAACACAGGGAAAGCCAAACTGCTAGAGAAAGAGTCAGAGAATGACAGAAACCCAGAGAGAGCCTGGGGAAGGAGAGACACATGGTCCAGGGACAGAGTCGTAGAGAAAAGGAGGTAAAGACAGAAACTGGACAGGGAGAAGAGGCCAACAAAACAGGAGATAGAGAAAGAACAGAGAGATCTCAGAGAGAGGCAGAAGCCCTACCCTTGCCCTCTGACCTGGATGAAGGAAGAAGCAGACCACTCCTACCTAGCAACCTGTAGGGCAGCGGCTAGGGGCCTGCTGCAAGTGGCAAGTGCTGGTCACAGTGGGGCAGAGAAGCTGCCCCAACTATACACCCTCAACCCCCTACTCTGCCAGTGCACTCCACCACCCTCCAGTCCCCTGAGCCCTGTACAGTGGCACCAGACTCCAGGGCAGATTTCCCCCAAGCACAGGTTTCTGGGGCAACAGCCCACCCCAGCCTGCCCCAGCATCTGGCAAAATTGCCTTTCTAAGTTTCTTAACTTGGGCTGGGCTAAACGTTGTTACCCAATTATTTCTGGGCACTTTGGAATCCTGTCAGCCCCGTCCCTCCACCCTCACCACTCATCTCTTCCCTAAGAAGAAAGGCCAGTCAGCAGCTCCCATGAAACCCATGAAGAGGGGATGCAAGAGAGTGGGGCAAGGCAGCCAAGGGAGGACCCCAGCCATCCTTCTCCAGAGAGGCCCTAAACATGGCAGGAAAGGGAGTCCTTGGGTAGCCAACGACAGCCCCTCCTGTAGGATCCCCATAGCAACAGATCCACTACCCCAGCGACCGGGAGGCTTCACTCACCTTCCATGGGGTGCTCCTCTGCAGCCAGCGAGGTTTGGAGAAGGGAGAGGCAGAGAGAGAAGAAAAAGGAGGGCTGTTAGCAAAGGTACCACGGACAGGGGCTCCAAGGGGAGAGTGGAGTCCAAGCCCACCCAGACCCTGACATGAGTCACCCAACATGGAAGGCCCAAATCTCAAGAAACAGCTATGTTGGGGATGAGGCAGAGACAGAGCTACTCCCTGAGTCAGAACCTCACACACAGTCAGCCAGTACCCATCACACCCAAGCCTCAAGTAACATTTCAGGAAACTGAGGCCCAGGACAGGGAAGTAACCACTCAAGGTCACATAGAGAATCTGAGGCAGGGCCAAGAGTGGCAGTCAGGCTTCCCAGTTTCCCCAGACAGTCTCCTCCCCTGCGTTCCATTGCATCTCAGAGACATGGGGACACACTCACACCACTAATTATCTCACAGGGTTTACTAGAGACACACTCATGCTCAGTGACACACTGACACATATAGGCACTTAGCAATCCAGTGACACACACCATCTCACACAATTCACATATAAAGCCTCTGTACACAGGACCCAACCACCTACAGCCCCTGACCCTCCCGGGGGTGAAAAGACATCAGGACACAGAGTGAGAAAACATGATTCTGCCACACAGCACTGTGTGACTTTCATCCTATTCACTTAACCTCTCTGAGTCCCTACTGCCTCTTCTGCAAAAATGAGAGAGGTGGACTGGATAGTTTCTGAGGCCTCTTCTGACTCTGATTCTGATTCTAGGACAAATGTCTTCTTAACATCTGGATGAGGCCAAGGCTCCCCAGGCTGGATGGCCATGCCAGTGAGGGAAGAGAGTCCAAATTCAGTAGGCCACACTGGGCCCAGAGCTAGACCATGCCACATTCTTTGGACAGGCAGACCTCACCTATTAGGGCCCTGCCTGGGCCTGGCCTTGGAGCTCACCAAATGGGTCAAGGGAGAAGATGGAACAAAGAGAAGATGGAGATAATTCCTTCAACTAAGCTATAACTCCTCAAGCAGGCTGGACTCTGATCTGCTTTGTAAGAGGATGGAGGTGCCCCCAGCTCCAAACATTTGCCATGTGCCCACCTCCTGGGAGCCTTTAGATGAAGCAATAGGCAGGAAGGGGGAAACAGCACAATCTACAAACACACAAACCCAGTGGGGAAACACATACTTGCATGTGCAGGCCCCAGGATACACACTTGTGTACACACAACTATCCAGTACACACTCACGCATGCACACACTATCTCCTCCTACCTCCAACCCCATTTGGTGATATGTGTTCATTTACTCACGGAGAGGTAGCTATACTCTGAAAACAAACATAGTCATTTGTCATACCTTATACCACTCCCATAATCCACGCACATACACAGGCTGAATGCAAGCACCAATACCTGCACAGTAATCTACTACATAACACTAGACACACACACCACCACCCCACAGTGACTCCAGTGGCTAAAGACACACAGCCAGCAATGAACACAGCTCTCTTTCTATCTTCCATTTCCTAAACCTACACACACAGTCTTTCCATGTCAATATGTGTTACAAACACACTCCTTTACAACACAGAGCTGCTTCTACCGGACAGCTGCATCACCTAAAAGCTATGTATCCAATCCAATAGTTTT